TTAGCTGTGCATTTCATAAATTGGCAGGGTCTGGACTTGCTGACCTTCCAACTCTACAGTTCTTTGATTCTATGATAAGGCACACACACACACACAAATGACAGGCATTAATTGTTTGCATCTTTCTGAAAATATAGCCTGTGCTTTGTGCTTGCTATGTGTGCACTAGATATCATAAAAGAAAAAGAGATGTTAGATATATTTTAAACAAACTGTGTTAAAAGCAAGATCTTTTGTAGGACCCAAGAATTCTTTACAAATTGAAATTTCTTGACATCCCTAGTTTCCAGCCCCTGAATGGATCAGTGTCCACTTCTAGTCTGTTTTTACAAGGTGAACATTTCAATGGGAAATCATTTGCTCAGACTTTAATCTGGTGTTCTAATGCTTGCCACTCCTTTGAGGCATGTTTCCTGAATCTTGTCCCTGAAGAATCCCTGAATAGTGTCTTTCACACAATAGTCCAGTAATGTTCACCAGCATTTCTAGCAGTAAAGTGTAACATGTCATGACTTCAGGTCAATGCCCACTTCAAACATTTGAGACTGATGTTTAAGGAGAATTCATTGTCTACACAAACATTCACAATGTGAGGTAAAGTGACACATAATGAATTAAAGGATGACAGTGAATTAAATGAGATGGTTGGACAGTGTCATCGAAGCTACCAGCATGGATTTGACTAAACTCCGGGAGGCAGTGGTAGACAGGAAGTCCTGGTGTGCTCTGGTTCATGTGGTCACGAAGAGTCAGACATAACTTAACGACTAAACAACAAGTGAATTAAAGCTTTTATTTGGAGAGGACTGGGAAGAAAGCAACTTCCCAGCTTATAAATCACTTAGTTATTTAATATCTTGTACGTTTTCTCTAGCTTTACTGGATAAAGACCAGTTTCAAATAAAGATTTCATGACTACCATCATTCTGTCATTGAAGGCACATGGGTCAAAAAGTACAACAATGAATGTTATACTTTTTGACACAATCAAATGAGCAAAGTACAAAATGCCAAGAGAAATCACAGAATTTTTGACTGCACAGACATTACTTCATTGAGAACATTATATCTTAGAGAATTATGGTTTCTGTCAGTTAGAGTCTAGTTCTATGTTTACACTAGAATGTTGCCATCATTGATATTCATCTACCATCTTCTAGAATATATTAAGATTTTTCTGGAGGAAACATGCAGAATATAAATACAAAAGAAACCTAAATCTACATAATCTCAAAGGGTATTTGACATGATATGTGACCACTCCAAATTCTCTGAACATTTTTTATGTGTGCAATAATACTAATAATCCTGCAACTGATATATTGACTGAAGAAATATGTCTCTCTATTTTACATCCTTCTTGTTCCTTAACTGCTTACATATTATCAAACCACTGCAGTGGGATGTTCTATAGTATTATGGCTACTCTAAATTGAATTAAATTACAGAAAGGACTGAAATCACAATTGA